CCAAAAAGCCCCCCCTGCCTCTGCCTCCCAAGTGCTGAGATTAAAGTCGTGTGCCACCATGCCCGGCTGTTCCGTGTGTTTTAATAGGCACATCCGCAGAGACTAGTGCATCCTCTGCAGTTCATATCAGCACATTCTGTGGAGCTGCCTAAAAACCAACTGCCAGCTCATGTGAGTCAGGACACACAGTAACTCTGTGAAGTTTCCCAGTACAACATGCAGAGCTCTGACTGTGAATCCTTCATGGCCCCAGCAAAGCCTGAGGTCTGGTGGGGGCGGCAGGGCGGTTGTGACACCAGGAAACTGAAGGGACTAGAGATTCTCAGGCTTGCTGGAAACACTGACAAGTTCTGCCCTGAACGTCTCTGTGCACACGGCCCCACTTTCCCTGCTTCACCTTCTAGTTTCAGTGTGTGTGGCTGAGATCTGAAAGAAAAATTCCCACATTGCGACAGTGGGATGAAAGCTCTGTCCACCAGTCTGTCCACCTGGCACAAGACCCATCCTCTGTCCAGGGTCCACACTGCACACGCTGCACAGGCCTGAGGTTCTTAGAGCCAACCAGGTTATGAGATCCACTGTCCCACACGCCTGCACCATTCATGTCCCTCATCTCATCAGCTCATCTGTCATCTCACAGCATTACAGTGTGAGTGCAGGAGAGAGGGAGGGAAGGAGGGAGGAAGGGAGGGGGAGAGAGAGAGAGAGAGAGAGAGAGAGAGAGAGATCCCTCCTTACACACCATCCATTAGACTATATTGCTGTCATCACTGTGCTTTATAATTAGTTTCTGTCCATCTTTACTGTGTCTGGTTTATGAATTAACCTTTACCTCAGAAGTGTGTGCACACAGGACAACACTCTCTTCTTGGTGGAGAAGGAGGTTTCCTGGACTGAGACCATGTCCTGGACCCACACTGGCGACCTCAAGTGTGGAATGAGGACCACTAACACACACGTACCCGGAGCCACAGGTGCCTTATCTGCAAAGAGCACTGAGGAGCTCGGTGAGTCCAAGCTCAGGGCTGTTCAGACAGGAACAAACTCTGCACAGATGTGATTCCTGACCAATCAGGACTTGGCAGTGTCCCTGCTGCCATCACGTTCCTGGGGTGACCGTTCTTCCGGAAGAGTCCAGCAATGCAGGAGAGGGGGAGGGGGAGGAGCAGGGAGACAAGGAGGAAATGAGCCCAGTCTCTGATCTCTCCTAGATTGCACAGGCTCAGGACTCAGGAGACCACGTGACAAGCAGCGCTCTGACCTCAGGGCTCAGGGCAAAGTCTCAGGTCCTGGCGAGGTCTGGGGTGGGGAAGCCAGAGGTGGGGGTCCCCATCCACCAGGGTTTCACTTCTCCCTGGCCTAACCTGTCAGGCCCTTCTGCCTGGATACTGATGACGCGTCACAGTTCTCACTCCATTGGGTGTCGGGCTCGTACAGAAGCCAATCAGCGTCGCCGCGGTCACCGCTATACATGCACTCAGACCCGCCCGACTCAGACTGTCCCCGAGTCTCCAGAATGGGGCGATGGCGCCGCGCACCCTCCTCCCGCTGCTCACCGCCGCCCTGGCCCTGACCCAGACCCGCGGGGGTGAGTGCGGGGTCGGGAGGGAAACGGCCCAGCCGGGCGGCCCCGCCCCGCTCCGTGTCCACCCGAGCCCCGCGCCCCTGTCCGGGGTCTCAGCCCTATCTTCCCCCAGGCTCGCACTCCATGCGGTATTTCCACACGTCCGTGTCCCGGCCCGGCCTCGGGGAGCCCCGGTACATCGCCGTCGGCTACGTGGACGACACGCAGTTCGTGCGCTTCGACAGCGACGCGGAGAATCCGAGGATGGAGCCGCGGGCGCCGTGGATGGAGCAGGAGGGGCCGGAGTACTGGGAGCGGGACACGCGGAACCACAAGGCACAGGCACAGACTTAGTGTGAGAACCTGCGGACCCTGCGCGGCTACTACAACCAGAGCGAGGACGGTGAGTGACCCCGA